GTTTATCTTAGTCTCCATTCTGATTGCACTACTAAGATTCTTCAAATTTTTGCTTTGAGCAGGATTTAGTTTGACTATTAGTTGGTTTGTGTTAAATTTCTCCACTTCTGTACATGTAGTACTTTAGTTTGACTATTAGTACTAATTTAGTGCACTATATAACTCCCATGAACAGACCAGGCCTTAACGGTTACTAAATTGGTGCGCTATATGTAGAAAATGTCAACTTTATTTTGGTCAGTTGTCTTTTTGTCCATCATTTAGTAAAGGGAGGTAACAACCCTCTGAAGTTTATAAAATATAGCTATGCAAATTTAATATGTTTGGTCATTTTTCTTCTTGTTTCTAAATTTACATGTTCATGCCTATAGACCAATTTCTAAAAAAAATTCAAGGCAGTGTGCTATGCAGACTCAAGACTTTGACCTCCTACCTCCACCCCCCAAATAGTTAGCCAAGACTAGAAACTTGTAGTGCGCTAATGATGTTCTTACCATAGGCAGACACCACTTTCTTGGTCTTTTCTGCCTGAGCTGGAGCTTTAGACTCTTTGAGAGATATATTAGTGATTGGGCAACCTCTCTTGGCAAAGAATGGTTTTCCTCATAGAGAGGGGGAGTAAGGGGTTTTCTGCTGAGTCAGAAAATGTTGTTTGTAGAGTCTCTTTCTGTTCAGGTCTTGAATCATTTGATTTGGGAAAATCCAACAATGTTGATTGGTAAAAATTGAAGACATGAAAAGTAGCCCCGGAGCATGTGCTCCAATTTTGTGTCGTTTTTGCCTCTAGGTTTATGTGTTAAGTAGGACGTGAAGTGAGGCTAGGACGATTCTTCTATTTTGAGGATGTAGATAATGAGAGGAACTTTTGATGAATTTGGAAGAATATGCATTTTTGATGAAATCTTGTTATTTTACCACCCTATATTGGTTATTAGGTGCTGATTGTGTTGACCATTTTCTGTTCCTTATTTGACTGATTGTATCCATTCTTCCATTTATATTTTATCTCAATTGATAATGCAGCTTATTCCATCCTGATGTTGTACCTCGTTCCCTCATTTTTTCTCTTATAATTTCTTTTAAATCCAGGTCTATCTGGGTGAACAGTATGTAAATAATTCTACACTGTCTGATGTAACATTTTTAGTTGAGGGTAAGAGTGGTTCTATTTTTTAATAATGTGACTCTCTTCCCCTTTTCCTTTTTAATGTTCTACTAACTTTTTTGTTCATTCTTCTACCAGGCAAACGGTTTTATGCCCATAGGATTTGTTTACTAGCTTCTTCTGATGCATTTCGAGCTATGTTTGATGGTGGCTACCGGGTGAGTTATAGTCTGCCTTTTATGTTCTATATTTATTCATTTCCTAATATGATCCATTGTAAAAATCTCTCGCCAAGTTTTAAGTTGACATCTTGCTAAGTGTAAGGGTAGAGGAGCAGACCATTATCCATTGAGTTTTGAATCTTGCACCTCATATCTTTTATTTTATCTTCTTTTTGTTTGTGTTTGCTACTTCAAAGTTTTCATTTTCTATTATTGTCTTCTTCTTTTGTATAAATGTAACTCTTGCTGCTTTGATTTATGTCTTACTCTCCTTTATAGTTTGTGTCAAAAAAATGCCTTACTTTCCTTTGATTCATGTCTTTAAGACCACAAGATTCAAGGGCATTTTGGTACATTACATGCATGATGCATCTTTAGTTTAAGACCATAAGATTCAGAAGTCATCATTTTAAAAACTTTGTACCCAGTCGAATCAAGACACAATGAAGTGGGGGGGAGTTATGAGAACCAAGATAGTGTATGCATGGCCATTGCAAAAGGAGTCAGCCCAACATATTTGTTTGAATTTTGTCAGCGTATCTGGGGTTATCTTGATACTTTTGTTTCTAATAGTTTGTAGTAAATGTATTGCAGGAGAGAGATGCCAAAGACATAGAAATCCCAAATATCAGATGGGACGTTTTTGAGTTGATGATGAGGTAGAATGATCTTTAATTACCATTTTACATCCTCGGTTCAGATCCTGGAAGTCAATCTTGCAGTTTTAAGGACTAATCTTTCTTGCTTGCAGGTACATATACACAGGATCTGTTGATGTTAATTTGGATGTTGCACAGGATCTTCTAAGAGCTGCAGACCAGTATCTATTAGAGGGCCTTAAACGTCTTTGCGAGTATGCCATTGCACAGGTGAGTGCTGAGATCTTTTGGGAGTTTGGGGGGTTTTCCTGTCACATTTATGCTCTAATGATGTTGTCTTTTCTAGGATATATCTGTGGAAAGTGTCTCTCTCATGTTTGAGTTGTCGGAGGCATTTAACGCTTTGACGTTACGTAATGCTTGCATTCTATTCATTTTGGAAAAGTTTGACCAATTAAGTGTCATGCCATGGTATGTCCTGGACTTTTCTATCCTTAATTACATTATATTTTTATGGGTTTGGTGCATGGGGAATCAAGCTGGATATCCTTTTATTTAATTTATTTGATGTGTGAAATTGTGAAGCATGTCATTGAAGTGAAGATTTCCAAAAATTATATATGAACTGATTAAGAATGTGGATTTTCTCTTGAATGTGTATTGACGTGATGCGATCTCCTATGCAGGTATTCACATTTGATTCAACGTGTATTACCTGAAACTCGAAGTTACTTTGTAAGGGCACTTACCAGGGCTATTCAAGCTGACATGCGGGTCTAGATGTTTCTGATTCAGTTTTGTTTTTTTATTAATTGTAACCGGGGGAAGGTAGTATGTACAGGAGTGGTTACTATTGTAATAGTCTCAAAATGAGCGCTAATGTAAAATTACTCAAAGATGCACCAATATTAGTAGATCTTTGGGTCAACTTAGCTTATTATAAGGTTTCAACGCCTGCTATGTTGTTAATGGTCTTTGATGAGGTGAAAGAATGAGTATTTACATTGAAAATCTTGATATAGTGGGTGTCGTAGTCAGATTTTTATAGAACCCTTTGGAGTTGTACACTAAACTTGATATTAGATTATTCATTTTTATGTTGGTAACCAATATATGATAGGTGATAATGAAACATGATGCCCCTTTGTGTAGTCGATGGATGAAACCTGTGCAAACTAGTTTCATTAATGGGGTCAAGATGTACAACAGTGCTTCTAGATAAAAGGCTACATTCACCCTCTTGCTCTATTTGCTCAAATGGGGTAATGGCAGTGTCCCTACAATGTCCTTTACACCAAATTCATAATGAATCAAGGGATCACCTGTATATCTCTTGTGATTATGGCTACTATAGGAGCAAAGAAAAATACAGAGTTTTTCCTGACTGATGCAAACACAAGCTAAAACTGTAGTGAGGATTGACCATGATCAACTTCCTAATCATAGGATCAAGAGGAAGCAATTTAACTTAAGTAATGAATAACAAATTTTTAACCTTTTCTTGCTGTGGCCTTTGGGCTATGTACATGTACCAGAAGTCGTCTTTTGCTACTTTATTTCTGTACGAAGTCACTTTTATTCTTCTTTTTTTTATGACAAGGGACACCCGCAGCCGCTACCCTTTGGGTGCGTACAAGGTAAAGCCCCCGCTCCTATGCAATAGCTCGCAAACCACATAGGAGAGGTAACCCACATCAGCCAAGTTTGGTGTGATGAGCTCGACCCAGAAGGCAAACCCCTTGCTTTCGCTGGCAAGGGGTTTCAAACTTGAGACCTCCAACATGGAAGTCCCAAGCCCAGTCATACTTAGTGAAGTCTTAATGTACATAGGACACAAGTTGTACAGGGAGGACCTATTTATCCTTTGCTCTGTACATAGAAACAAGGATATGACACCTCCTAACTGTATATCTTTCTTTATGGTTGATATATACAGGTTGGTGTGGTGGTCTTTTTAGAACAAAAAAACAAAGAAGCTTCTTTTATGTTTTGTTGCATGATCCACCTCCGAATTGATCAGTGCGTTATTTAGGTATTCTTAGACGAAAGAGTGTCTTCCGAGTGGTTACCTTGTTGTTGGCAACTTGGCATGTTAGGTCCCATGTTAATACAATGAACTAATGATGATTAAGAAGTGGAATACACAAGCAATAAAGAACTCAACCAAGCAAATTGAATCTCCTTAACCCGATCACAAGTAAGTCCAGAGGATTCTAAGACCCTGTCACCCGTCAAAGAAATATTCTTAGGTCTTAAAGTTTATAGCTTCGTAGCTTGTGTCGCTTACATAAGATAGAAAAGAATGATTTTCTCAGCAACTGGTAATTCTGGCTGCCAATTAAATCTGCCTGTTGTTCTCTTATATAATCTTTGGCCTCTCTTTGCTTCTCAACTTTATTGAACTTTTTGACATTTCATATTAGGACCTTTATCGACCTTGATAGGAGGGTGTGGAGGTCGAAAATTTGAATAGAAGACTAATAGTATATAGTTTTGCATCTGGTCTCCGCAGCTAGTAGTTTTAGTGTATTTTTGATATTTTGTTATTTTACTATTTTTGAATTTCTCGCTCTTTATTTTCTATCACTACTTGTTGTCTTGTATGCCTCCATTTCTTCTTACAACCCTACTATTGTTGCTGCTTGTGTCTTCATAATTATTGTGTTTTGTTCTTTGAGCCACTATTGTTACTGCTTGTCTTCATAATTATTGTGTTTTGTTCTTTGAGCCTTCAACGGATAAGATAGAGGTAAGATCTACATACATATTATCCTCTTCAGACCCCACTTATGAAATTATACTAAATATGTTGTTGTTATTGTTGCTTAGTTCGAATATATAAATAAAATATTCGGTCAAATTTAATGGGCTATGGGTTGATTATGTATTAAACCAAAACAAAAATTTTACAAGGAAGTCAAGAAGATCCTGCAGAGCTAAACATGATCCTTGGGATACTTACAAGTACCTGAAATTCTTACAACACAACATATCTAGTGTAAGCCCACAATGTGGAGTTTGAGGAGGACAGAGTGCACATAGATCTTACTTCTGCCCGGATGTAGAGAGGTGAAATTCTAAAAGAGCATTGTATAAAAAACCCTTGTGGGTTCAAACTTGGTTGTTCAAAATAATACCTGAAATCACTAAGAAACTTCGATTGTAAACACTACACAATTCTATAGGGACCAACATCCGTGGGGAACTTCACAGAACATGAAAAAGAATGATACCAGGGTTCCTGGGAGCTACACTAGTACAGTAAAGAACACCTGCACAAGAAAAAAATGGGTAAAAAAAAAAGTGTATCACACTGCTATGACTTTTTCCTACCTAGACAATATAGTACAAAACCCAGCATTTCAGTTTCTTCCATGTCTGAAAGAGTTTCAACTTTGTGATGATATCTTCACCATTGTAAAATCTCATCTTGCAATTTGTGACCAGGTGGAATCGTCTTTGTTTGACCAGCTCTCGTTGATTCTACATGCCTGAATTGAGCACTCAATCTGGAGACCTACAGTGCCTTCCTTCTCTAGGAGAGAACAATAGCTTCCGAATGTCTGGACATTTACATGAAGTTGAAAATCCAATCCAAACAAGAATTTCATCTCCAGCTTATTCAACTCTTTTGTGGTTACACCACCTACTCTTGCATAGTATGCATTGTTATAGAATCTGAAAATCACACAGAGCATCATAAAGATTCAAAATAAGCAAGGGTCCATAGCTGAATTAAAGTTTAGTAACACCCTTTTCAACTGTGTTTCTGGCAGTAAGCAGATAATGAGCATACTATGCATGCATGATATATTTCCTTTGAGCCTACTATGTGTTATTAGTAATACACAGGGAAAGCTCGTTGCATGTCGTTGGAACAGGTTTCAGGTTGGACTCTATTACTCAACTATCCAATCGGTTGACTATTCAACATGACAACAAATCTTAAAGCATATATAGAAGCTATTACACATTTGGGGGTTAAGAATGAGGTCAGATAGATCATGTCTGAGGTAAACTTACGCATCATCGATGAATTTTGCTGCCACCATCACACTTGTGATAAGTAGTCGGTGAACATTGAGGGAAGTTAAATGAGCACCAGTGCATTCAATGAATCTCTCCATGTATATGTGTGCGACCACAAAGCATGAAGGGCTGCAACATGAATACTTATAAATGCGATCCAAGTACTGTTCAATACTGAGAGAGGGGGCTCTTGATCCATGAAATATTGTGATCACGTCTTCACTTTGTGAACTTTCTAATAAGCTTTCATTATTTTGAACAGACCTCTCAAGAAGTGTTGAAAGAAGCGATAAAACTCTGGGTTTCCCTGATTTTTCCTTGCCAGATATCTTCAGACCCAATGCTAAGTACTTTTTCGAGCATGTGACCTCAGGTTCAGGTGCCAAAGTTCCCATGTCCTGGAGATCATAGATTAAATGGCATCAACACACTCGAAAATTGCAAAAGTATCATCTGGAATGAGAATTACAAAATATATGAAGCAGTTAAACATTAGTAAGATCAGATGAGTAAGTCGCTGTAAGATTTCATCTGATCTGCCTCAGGAAGTAATCAAGGAATTGAAGCAGGGAATGTATCTTTTGACTCTTAAAAGTTAAACTTGAAGGGGTGCGGTCAATAGTCATGGTTAAGGAGCTTCTCTTACTTATCTTCCAATACAACAAAACAGAAGTTATATAAGAGTTTCTTGTTATGAACTTCAGTTTCCCCTTTCTCTACCAAAGAGGGTAAAGCTTTTCAGACCTATAATTATTAGAAAAATATAATGTTAAGCATTAGAAGGTTTTGGTTTCTTCATCTACTAGAAGAATGTTCGCTTTTTCTGTGAGACTGCACTTGATAAAAATGACAACAAAGACCAAAGCTTACAACAATGGAACCATTTGTTTAAAAGTAAGCAGGATGGTGAACTTGAATTCTAAAAAGCCTTGTTTTGCTTAGGCTCTTTGCAATAATGTGGGAAAGAGAAGTCAAAATTGCTGATTTTTTCATACAAAAATGTTTATTATCCTTCATGTGTAATCCTAACGGTCATAATTTTCGGGTACTCCGACTCCTCAAACAAGACAAATATAATTCATGAAAAGTAAATTAACTACCAAAATTTACATGCTCAATTTAGGAAATGTCGAGAGTTTCCAGCTAAAACACTCTATGGTGTTAGAAGTGCAACTTGTAGCTCATCCCTAACACTCTCTTAATTAGTAATGTGAATAACCATAAACAATTAACCGAGAACATTGGTTTATCTGTTAAACAGAAAAGTAGAGATGTGCTGGATTAAAACTCAAGAAGTCATACACTGAAAATATGAACTGATGAGTCATACTATGACCACTTATCAAGAAATCATGACCAGTTACCAAATAATTAGTATCATACCACAAAGGATAAACTCCAAAGATGGTAATTAATTATCAACATTAAGAAGATAAATTTTCATGAAGAATATTAAAACGATCCATTTAGCTTACAGACAATGAACTAATTTCTTGAGAGCTCAACTATGCTTTGGGATCTAAAGTGAGTGTCGCAATGTACAACAGGATTGGGACAACTAATCCACATTCACCACCCCGTCATTCCTGAATTGACACTAAAGGGTAAAAACAATTACTCCATCGGTCTAATTTTACTCCCATAAACAATTTAACGAACCATAAATGCGTCATCCAGAACCAGTCTCGCATTATTTAGCAGTACTAGTCATACTAAAACAAATTTACACGCGTGATTTTTGATATGCTTTACTGGAGTCGAGAGTCTATTGGAAACAGCCTCTACCTCCCCAGACCCCATTTCGTGGGATTACGTCGGGTATGTTGTTATTGTAGAAGCTCCTATTCTGCCAGCAGCTTATAACAGATTTCACTGTAAGACAGTACTTAGTTCCAAATTGTTATCCTTTCCTATCTTGCACCAATTTAGTACCAGCCACACTGAAATACTAGTTTACAAATTCATCAATTATAAGTTCCCACTCTACAAGCAACACATTACATTCAATTCATAAAATTTCCCAATTAGCAGGCATTAAATATGAAGGGTAGGTGTACAACTAAACCTATAATTGACAGATCTAAACCCAGTAACTAATAGTAAAAACAAAGAGAAAACCGAGACCGCGTAAAATGAAAAATCCGTCTATATAAACCAACATCAACAAGATGTTAACTTCAAATCACCATAAACTTCATTAGCACACTTGTTAACTTAAAACCCAAAAAGCACAAAGCACAGATCTAACAAACTAATCAGCAAAACAAAGAAGCTGCTACAGATAACCCATTCAACTAGGGATTCCTTGCTCAAAGATGTTCATTTCTATGTGTATCATAGATATCAAAAAGGCTAGTGATAAGAGAAACCCATTTACCAGAAATGAAAAAAAAAAAACAGATTAAGATAGAGAAAAGGAGCTTACAAAGCAAATATGATAGTTGTTGTGCTTGAGAGATCTGGTAAAATTTTCAGCTGGTACTTGAAATTTCTACATGAGAACCCAAATCTTGGAAGTAGAAGAACATTACTCTAATGGCAGCTAACAAAAGGGGCAAGAAAACAATACCATGTCAGGTGGGTAGTAGTTTCAGTCTCTCTTTACACACTACAACAACACCCCCTTTGAGCTACCCACCCTGACCCCAAGCTCTCTAAACTGTACTATTCTCAATCAAAATAGGTGAGCCAAAAGATGATAGTAGTAATTTATTGAAAGAATAAAGTAGTAGGAGAGGTAATGGGTTTCTTCTTCTTTGTTTAGTTTCTCTTTCTATACCCACTTGGATTAACCCTTTTAGGTTGCTTCACATGAAGAGCAACATACATTATATACTCCCTTTCTTCATTCTTTTTACCTCTCTTGTCACTTTACATGGTTTGCTTCAATTTGTTTAACCTATTTTGATTTAGTATAAGATTTGAGAGAAAAAAAATTAAATTTTATTATTTTAAATCAAGGATATGAGTATCATGTGAAAAATTTTATGACGTTAAATATACATGTATCGTGTAAAAAGTTAAAATTAAGGAATGAATAAAAAAAATATTTATTTTGAAATTGATTAAAAAAAAGGTCAAATAAATTAAAACGAAGAAAATAATAGAGTAATAATTGCTCCCTTTGTTGAATAACAGTGTTCACTATTGACTTGACACATGAATTTAGAAACAGTAAATGATAAGGATAATTTTATCAAAACTTTTATTAAATATAAGTCATCTAAACATTGAAAAATGAACTGTATTTAATAATAATGACAAAATATACCCAAAATGATAAATTATTCATTGATTTTATAAATTGAACAACTATTATTAGACATTTCAAAATAGTATGACAGAAAAAATGAACATAAATATTTAATTATAATACAAAATACAAATAATTATTATTAAAAAAAGTTAATATAACAAATAAAAAAATTATTTTTGAAATACTGAACAAGGTGAGCTTGAAGAGAAATGGGTTTTCACCTTTTTTCTCGTTGGATTGGGGAGTCGTGTGCGTCTCTCAAGGGGTAATATGCGTGTTTTATTTTATAATATATAGAATATAGATAAGGAAAAATGAATGTGAAGTGTCGGTAGTCTATATTACCTCTATTTCATATTAAGTTAATTTTTGAGATATTTTTTACTTTTTAAATTAATTTAATTGTTCAGTTTTCAAGATTACTTTTAGAGTGTTCTTCCAATTTTACCCTTCATTAGTTAGTATTGAAATTAGTAATTAATTAATATTTAGTTATTTTAATCATAAATTTAACAATAATTAATAAGGGTAAAAATGGAAAATTAGGTTCAATTTATGTTTTAATCTACTTTTCTTAAAGGGCGTGAAATACCTCAAAAATTAACTTAATATGAAATGGATGGAATATCTAATAACAAAATTACCATTTTAAAAGTGGGATAATTTGCTCTTTCATAGGCGACCGGTGCGGCGTTGGTCCTACCATTATTTATTTTTATTAATAATTTCTCCTCAAATGTTTAGAACCTCACCTTTGAATGGATTGAAAGTTATGTTTTGTTTATAAGCGGTTAAAAATAAGTTATGAGCTATAAACTCAAATTCATGATATGCGTGTATTGAATTGATGGAGTATATATTAAGGACGGATAATTTTTATTCACAGATCTCTCAAATTCATTTCTTTCTCCAAGTAGCTCTTTTAGGAATAAGTCATTTTTTCCTGAATTAGTAAATTATCAAATTCTATTTGGATATTCTTGAATTCAATTCTTTATTTTTATTTCATATTTTTAATGTTCTATTATGAAAAATTAGGAAGATTAAGCCACACAAAAAGGAAAAAGAACGTCTAGATTTTGTGAGAAAAAAGAGCATTGAAAGCAGATATTCTACTTCTAGCATCTACAAGTACATTTCATTTTAGATATTGTAATTACAAAATCTACCAGACTCCTCCTTTTAAATATATTTTGAGAAACGATCAATGGTTAATTATTATTTTTATTTAAATTGTATATTTATGATACGTTTTAGTGGTTATAGAAATATTACACCAAGAAATAATGCGCACTTTCACTACTAACTCGTACAAATTAATATTACTATTTTGATATTAAAATGCATTCTTTCTCCAACATTTATTATTAGCTGTTTGATTTGTTGTATATTTAATATTTTTAATTCTATTTAACAAACTAAGATATCCATTACTACACGAAGGGTTATTTCTGTCTTTGATAATTTTAATTCATATATTACTATTTTTTGTATTTTTATTTCATATTTTATCTTGTATGTAATTATATATAGATTAATATAATTAAATTGACTTTCGAAAAGCGCAACATGACATATTAAAATGGATCGGAGGAAAGTATATCCTTATTTATCATTTTGCAATAGTACATAAATTATTTCATGAGGCTTCTGTCCCAACAACCCATTATTAATTAATCCTTAATCTTGATTTTAAATGAAATAAATAATTAAAGTAATTAACCACATTGTCTGGGATTAATTAGCAAGTCGACATATACCAACACTAAACTACCAAAATAGATACTTATATGAATTGATTTATTCTGTCAAGTTGCTTTCGGTCGTTGGCTTATCCAGTTGTCCAATTGATGATTAATTAAATTATGTTTGATTTTTTTTAATCAGTTGGTAAGTGGGGTCTAAATACACATCAGACAAAAAAAGAAAAAAAAACTCTTCCCAACCCCCACACTCTTTCATTAGAAAATGAAATATGTAAAAGACAAAACAAGAACATAAATTAATTTCATCATTAAAATTTTGACATGGATAAATAAATGTCTGACATTGTTATTAAAAATATTATCTTAAAATACATTATTTAATATATAAGCGTTTAGGCATGTGTCATTGTGAAATTTATATTTTAAAAAATAATCTTAAAGTGAAAAATAATAATTGAAAATTAAAGTTGTGTTTCGTCCATGAATACAAATTAAAGTTATTTTTTATTTTTTGAATAATTTGGAGTGAAAACATATCTTTGTTATTTTCAATTTTTTTGAAATTTTGAATTCAACTTCAAGTTAAATTATGAAATTTTATGGGAAATCATATTTTTCGAAATTCAACTATAAAAAGTAGTATTATTCTTTCCATGATTAAACGCTTCCTTAATCATTGCATAAACAATTATTTTTGATTAAATATAATCCCAATATAAGAAGTATTTATGTGAACCAAATTAAATGACCCAGATGGACAATAATGACAAACAATTTCTGCATTAAATTACGATTTATAACATGTAAAAGTATAATGTCAAAAGAGAATGATGCATACAATAAAATGAATAGGTGACACTATAACTAATTCACAAGAAAAAAAGTCATAATTTTTTAAAGAAGACAAACTTATTATTTGAAAATTTTGAATCAGACTTGACCTTATTAACAGACTTCTTTTCAAAATTTATTTTTATGTCTATAGGTAAATGTTGTTGAGATGATAACTAAATTTACTCCTAATAATTATGAGAATATCTCAACAAATGTTATATCATAATTTGATTGTAAGAAGATGAACTTAAAGTTACTTAATTATTAAAAAGAAGAATTGGAAGCCATAATTCTTTGTATTTATTTTCTTAGAGTATATGTTAATTTTTTTAGTGAAAAAATGAGAAGAAGGGGGTGCTTAGTGAAAAGAAGAAAAAATTGGTTACAATCTTTTAAATTTACTTTTTATCTTAATTAAGACGAATTTCCATAATTAGGTTTGGTGTAATTATTTCCTTTTGTTGTACTTACTAGAGTAGGAGATAGATCTCTGGAATTGCTCTATGAATAGCTCTTTGCTTGGGGGTACAAGTCAATTCTTCAAGTCAAATTGAATCAACAAATCAAGTTAAATTAGAAAAAAATAATTGACTTATGATTTTGTTTGATTGATTTGGCATTAAAAAAAAGAAAATCGATCACTCTTAATATGGTTTGATATTAAAAGAAAAAAAAACAAATTGAGTTCAAATCAATACGATATATAATCTACTTTGTTAATGTTTCAAATTAGTTTATAGTTTACAATGTTTAGATATATTATGTCAAATTTGGGCGTATAAATATTTTATTTTGTATTCAGATAGACTGTTACAACTAATTGTTATAGATTTCATATAGAAAATTAACAATCTACTTTATAAATATTTTATTTTATGTTCAGTTTGATTGTAGCCTTTAATCTCATAAATTTAACATATTAAACGTTGACATTTTAATAAAAATATTTTGTATTCATGTTAATTATCACAATTTTTTTTTTAAAAATATCTATTCATTTAACGTTTTTAAGTTTTAGCTTGTCACACATTTAAATGAAAATATATTTAATCTTATTTATAATTATTAAAAATCTGACTAAAATTGAAATTAAAAAATCGACTTCATATTAATTTAATAAATCAACATAATTATTTTTTTAATAAAAATTAAATCAAGCTGACTTATGTACCCCTAGCTCTTTGCTCTTGCAGTCTCATGTAATTAAATAAGACAATATATGTGATGTTGGTCCTAACAAAACAGAGAATCACCAACAACATTATTTTGACTTCATATATATTAGTAAAAATAATTAAGATAAAAAAAGTGATGCAAACTGGCAAATGCCATCTGACAGTGATGAATGTACTAAATAAATAAGAGTACATTATGTTTGGTCCATCGTCTATAAGGCAAGACATGACAAACAAATAATTAAATAGTGTGCGGTGCTCCATTTTTTTTCTATTTTGCGTCGGTGCAATAAATTAATTGAAAATGTCTGGACTAGTTTATTTAGATTAATAATGCAGATTGGTTATTTCATCGAGTATTTGTTAATTTTTACCAATATGTATACTATTTGTGTCGTTTATTTTTATTTGTCATTTATTTCTAAAATAAATTTATATTTTTACTTGTCATCAGGGGCATAGCTATAGTCATCGTCGGAAAATTATGTTGTATATATATGTCAAATTCTACATGTAAATGATTTATATTTAAAGTTGGACATCCTTGACAAAAGTTATATCTTGAAGGAAGGAGTTTTGGATTTGAACCTAACTTACCTAAATTTTCACTTTTTTTCAGCACAAGGAATTTCTTGGGAAATAATTGAATAGTAAACGATCTTGTATGTTTCTTTGTACATGTCTTGTCCTTAATGAATTAATAAAAATCTTATTTCGTCGAGGAAAAAAAAAGAACAAAGAATTAAGAAATGTTAACCTTGGGGAAAAAAAAAGAAAGAATTGTTAATTGTTAAAAAAAAAAATAGCTTCCGAATTATGCATATATAACCTAAAACTAAAAAGTTGAAA